TGGGGAGCCCAGAACTGGAGGCAGGATTCCAGTTGTGGCCTCCCCAGTGCAGAGTAGAGGGGGAGAATGACTTCCCTTGACCTGCTGGCCACACCCTTCCCTACGCAGCCCAGGATTCTGTTGGCCTCTTGGCCACAAGAGCACACTGTTTACTCATTGTCATTTTGCTGTCCACCAGGACCCCTAGATCTTTCTCTTCAGAAGTTGCCTCCAGCAGGTCCACCCCTAACCTGTACTGGTGCCTGACATTTTTCTTCCCCAGGTGCAGGACCCTACACTTTTCCCTGTTGAACCTCATGAGGTTCTTCCTTGCCCAGCCCTCCAGCCTGTCCAAGTCTCACTGGAGGATGGCAGCACGGCCCTCTGGGGTGTCAGCCACCCCTCCCAGTTTGGTACCATCAGCAAACTTGCTGAGGATACACTCTGTCCCCTTGTCCAGGTCACTGATGAATATATGATGATCTTGTCTGATTTCTGTCTTCAGAAAACAGAGGATCTCAGAATCTAAAGCCACAAAAATAATCTTCCTCAGAAGCTGGTAAGCACCTCCATCAATACCCCGGTAGATTGTGCTAAGCCACACGTCCTTCTTGGGCACTAACAGTGTACTTGCACTATCTAAAAGCAAAAGCTTGGGGCACCACTGGTCACCACTACTTTGCCAAGCCTTCACTACAGTAGAAGTACAATATACTCTGTAGCTTACTCAAATCAAGCATGGGGCAATGAAAACATGCACCAATTGTCTCTCAAACTTTAGGGGAAAAGTGACTCAAATTAGAGATAAGCAAAACAGGGGGAAAGAAGTTATCAATAAATCACATCATCAGTAGGCTTTGTATTAGAAGTTAAGAGAAAGGTCCCAGCCCACACACAAAGGCTGAGGAAGTATGGTACGAGGAAGCAGCACTGCTCCCACTCTGCTCCCCCAGAACAGGAATAAAGGAAAGGTTGGTTGGTATTTGCTGATAAGACTGTGGAAGAACAGGCATAGGTTTCTTTACTCTTCTTCCATCAGAATCATGGAAGGAAAAAGAGAAAAAACTTCTTCCATATTCAGAAAACAGCAGTTGTCTCACTAATTAAGCTCAGTGTTTCTGCAGGCTAGTGAGAATGTACTGTTTAGTAAAAACCTCATTGAACGTTCTTTCCCATTTCTGCACAATGGATGGTCTGATCAGCTCTGAAAAAAAGATGTGCAGGTAGCTGTCTCAAACTGTGACTGACTCAGGAAAGTGACAAGCTCTCTACCTTTAGACTGCTCTGTCCATTCTATGTTTTAATCTCGGGAATGTTTATTAATCTAACATATCAGGTAGTTCTGCCAAAAATAGAATGTCCATGGAATACTTGAAGCATTTGACTCATTACAGGGCAATCTTAATTTTGTCCTTAAGAAGTTGCCCAGTAAGTTGAAGCAGCTTCGTTAAAAGCTTATCAAGGACAACAGCTAAATGCTTCATCGTCCTCCAGAAAGAGGCGTCTCCCCCAATGTGTTTTTAAACACATTTCCTATTGATTTTTGAAGTTTCGGGAAAGACTAAAAGCAAGAAATAGCTTGTTCAGGGCTGGGAAAAAAAAAAAAGAGAGAGAGAGAAAAGAAAGAAACTCCAAGGAAAAACAGACAAAGAAAAGCAGGAAAGCATAAATGAGAGTAAGACCACCTATAAAAATAACAAAAGAATAAGCAAGTAAATTCTGGTCAACCTGTGCATGGCAGAAACAATAAGAGGGGAGAAGTTTAGCTATTTATTTGAGGAACAAAAATTTTTATGACTCCCCTAGTCTGTTTCCCACCATGCTGTATAGCTTAAGCACACTTGCTTTGTCTGTGCAGCAAATACTGCACTAAGTAACTTCGAGGAGCTGCTTGAAGGACTTCTAGGAGTATTAAGAGAAAGTTAGATAATCCAGTAGTGGCCATTTTACATGTCTATTATGGACCCACAGAGCCTTCAGATATGACCCAGAAGCATAAAGTGGGCACAGCTAGATCAACAGTAATGCATTAACTGTGCAAATTATCACAGCCCACTGAACAAACTCAAACAGTACTTTTGGATCAGTACTCTCCAGCTGATGCCAGTCTATATTAACATTAGTTTTAGCTACAAAAAAGTTATCACATTAAAATCCAAACATAAAGTTTTGTTTCAGTTTCCTCTACTTCAACTAGATACTCCCTAACTTGAAAAAACAGACACAAGTTCCATTTCCAAAACATGTTTCTCAAGTCATGAATTATGTATATTATTGCTCTGGTATTGTCTGTGTTTTCCATCTGCAAAGTCCCAAATAGCAGGACCTCAGAAAACAGCTTTGTGCTACCACATAGCAACTGCAAACCCATTTTTAATACCCAGCCCTATGTTAAATGTGCGGTTTGTTATTTCACAATAAAAGGAAAAATGAACCTAGGTATATATCCCTTAGTCAAAAGAGTATTTCAGTGCTTGTAGCTCCTAATTTAAGCAGAAGGATGCTATGAAAGGTTGCCTCGGTAACAAGGCTAAGCTGCTTAGCCTTGATAGAGGGTAAAAAAGCAGCACCATTATTGATGGTGAAAGCTAAGGATGGGACCTGTTTATTAATAATTTCGTTAGCGCCCGTCAAACCACAGTAGGCAAGCTAGACCCCACAAGACCACTATGTCCGTGACTTTCAGTTCCAGCAACTTCTAATCATACATATTTTTAAGGACAGCACCTGGTTCCCAGTGATCACTGCGACCATTTACTACGTGATCTTGTCTTTTCCAGACGGCGCAGACGGTGCTTCTGGTGGTCGCCGTGTTCCTGCTCTCCTGGCTGCCGCACCACGTCATCACCATGTGGGCAGAGTTTGGGCAGTTTCCCCTGAACAACATCTCCTTCACCTTCCGCATCATCTCTCACTGCTTGGCCTACGGGAACTCTTGCATCAACCCCATCATCTACGCTTTCCTCTCGGAGAACTTCCGCAAGGCCTGCCGGCAAGTCTTCACCTGCAAGTTCTTCCTGCGGCCGGTTCCCACTGAGAAACTGGTCAGGATACGCATGGAGAACTTCTCTACCACGCACTCGACCACCAACATGTAAATGGGGCTCATAAGTACATTCCAGGAGGGAGGAAGAGGTGCTGTGTGGGGAGAACAGGTATAGAACATAAAGGGAATTTCAGGGAGCGGCACAGCCTGGAAAAATGCGGACTTTTTCAGATTACCAGAGTGGTAGGAGGCATTTTTCCATCTGGCTGTTAGGACACTTGACACAGCTTGTCCTAGGGTACCTTGCCAGGCACTGGGCTATGTGCAACAGAAGTATTTGAACGTCCTTGTAGCGCCAATAAGATAGAACTCCTGTGCAGTTGTAGTTATGCCCGTAAAATCTAAAATAAGAGTTACACAGAAGGTAGAATATGGACAGACAATAAAAGAGCAGTTAATTATGTCTGTAGAGAGTCATCAGGATGTGAACAATGAGTGATGTGATGGTTAGAGAGCACTGAAAAGCACTTTGGGAAAACTCAGACTAAAAAGTCTTTGAACACGTCTGTTTCTTAAACAAGTTTGACCACGAGAGCTACATGTACTTTTAGCTCGCTACCTGTGGTAAAGTCTCTAAATCTCCTTGAAGGCTTTGCTCTAGTATTTACCTATCAGGTAGTGAAACCTTGCCCATGACACGTGTCAGTGATGTGGATGTCTGCGCGTGGTGGCAGCTTCTGTATCTCAGGATTTGAATGTCTGTGTGCTCTTGAATGTAATTACTGCTGTTAATCACCAGCTCCAGTAACTGTCTCTTTGCGAGCAACAGTAGGAAAGTTGTATTTCTCAACATATGTTTAAAAGAACTTTGGCTTTGTTTGAAAGCATTGTTTACAAAAAAAGGCTTTATTGGTAAATGTAGTGTTCTCTGAGTATATCTACCCAAAGCTTTTTATTGGCCACTTTAGTATATAAATGTCAAAAAGATTTTGGGTTTTGGTTTTTTTTTCTGATAAACTGTTTTGATCAACAGTGCCCTAGCAACACTCAGCTTAGAGCATTTGTACCGAGTTCAGGGTTGCTGTTTGTAAATATATAAAGTGTGTACTACTTCAGAATTAAGAAGCGTATGGCTCAAAGAACTTAATTATTTCACTGTGTGGTCTAATTTGATAATATTTTGTGCTGCAATCCAGACTGACGTGTCACGGGATTCACTGTAACGCGATTCCAGATTCATAGACTATGCTACTGAGTTTTTAAAAGTGTGTTATAGAAGCTAAACAACAAATTATACATCTAAAAAAAGGTAACAAAAATATCCAAATATAACCCTGTAGAACATTTTCAGCATCTTTTGTTATGGCCAACAGAACACACAGAATTAATTTCTGTAACATGTAATACTACCAATCATTCATTTTTAACATGTATATTAAAATATACATTAATTACAGGTATATTAAAATATATCTCAGTGTCAAGTATCCCTGCATTGCCCTTTATAATCTGGTTATTTTTTTATCAGAAGTCAACCTTCCTCCCATTACCGTTCCATATATTTTAACTCAAGAAAAAACCTACTCTCTTATCACCAATGCCACTTAGTTACTGATACAAATTAAGTGGATGCATTAATTATGACCAACCATTGCCTCACCATTTGACTCTGGATCTTGTTTCAGAAATTGTTGTTTATGTGACATTATTAAACTTTGGTTAATTTGGTTGCATTATTTAGCTGGAAACAGTACACAACATCTGCAACAGTTATGAAATTTTAGCCTGAACAACTTATTGATTTAATGCTGTAGAACAGCTATATGAGAACAGAAATGTAGAAGTCGGACACCTGAAATCCCCAGCAACAGTTTCCCTCAGAAACTTAGAAGGACAACTCTGTATGTTGGACTGGGAAGCACGGTCACCATCACCAGCTGCTTCAGAACAAACAGACCCTCTATCAAGCAGGTAGTAATTCAATAATTATGCTAATACAGTGAAGTGCTACAACTTATTATATGACACTCGAGATGGAGTCAGCCTGGAATTGCTTAGGCAAAGCAGGCAAGCAAATATTAAAATTTCTTACTTGGAGTTTCTGGAATACAATTTACTTCATTAAAATTAATCTCTGCATTAAAGGAAGAGATTAAAGGAAGCTATTTCTCAGCAGTTCAGAGGACCTGATATAACATAAGATGCATATTAACAAATGGAAATGTTAAAGGAAGCTATTTCTCAGCACTTCAGAGGACCTGATACAACATAAGATGCATATTAACAAATGGAAATGGGATTTTCTCTAGATTATAATACTATAGGTTGTCCCCAGATTTTTGTTTAATTTGTCCCCAGTTCTGTTTAAAATTTACCTTACTGCTATACATCAACAGTAAGCTTCTGCTTGTGGACATATAAATTGCCTGATTTGCAGATGAATTAACTACAGATGAGAGGCAAGTAGCCCATGCGATGAAAGGCTCCAAAATATAAAAAGGTTTCCAGTCTCTGAGTGTATTTCTACCATCTCCACTGTATTTTTATTAAGCTGAAAGCTTTCTGTCCTATTAAATAATTTTAGGGCAGCTTGTAACTTCCCCTAAGAGCCTATTAACTGTGCCATGTGAACAGAGCACACGCAGATGATTTCTAGGATGAGGTTAAACAGCCTTATCCTTGAGTGATTATCCGTGCAAGTTTTCTGGTTAATTTTTACTCCAAGTAAAGTAAGAGTAGCTCCAGTGTCTTATTTCCTCTGAAATCAATGATTTAGGTACTATACCGTGATCTTTTCATGTAACAGCTTACCATCTCTACATACCAAGTACTAGTATGGGCAAAAGTGGACAGCATGGGAAAAACAGCCACTAAAAGAAAAGGCTGTGATAAACCACTGCAAGAGAAATCCGCTCTAAAATGCTGGTTTTGTGTGATTATTTACCATGGATACAAAATAGCAGCTAGATATGAAATAACCTCAGCCTCGCTTTAATCCTTTTGGTGTAAAGCAGAAAAAAACAATGACATAATATTCAAAAGAAATCTTGTCTGTTACCTGGGAGAGGTTAGAACCTTTGAGTCACTTCTTTCCTTTAACAGGAGATTTTTTTGGTGGATTGAGTTGTTTTTACAATCAGTTCAGAGACTGGCTATGTCACTACAGCATGCAGAAAAAATGAGCAGAAAAGACTTAAAGGCTTTTTAAAATTCATTTAATAGAACACAAAGCAGCAAGATCCCCTTTCTCAGTGAAAGGGAACTAGAAGATGACCAATTAATACCTTGAAAAAGCCTCAAGCTTTATTGTTCTTCCTCATGCCCACCAAATTTTAGAGGTATATGGTCTAGAATTGTCTGAATGAACCGTTACATCACAAGAAAATCAAATATAATTTGTCCTTTAGTCTTTCCAGATGTCTAACTGGTCAAAGTTATAACAAAGTTAGGAAAATATTTTTTTTTGCCACAGAATGTTCAGCTGCAAGTGGTGGGAAGCAACAAAATACAACAGAGTTGCCCATCATACAGGCATGCTTTCCTTCTGATTTGAATTTAAAGTCTCAATAAAATTAAACAAAAACAGCTGATGAGATCATTCTTCAGTTCTCTCCAAGGGCATTTCGTTACTCACTTACTAGCTCCCTTTTGGAAAGCTGTGAGTTGTGATGCCTATGGAAATGACTATCACAGCTCCCAGAACAGTGCACAGAGTTAACCTATCACCTGGTTGTGACACTCAATTATCTGTTCTTTCAGGCCACCTTACACACAGCAGCTCATTCCCTCTGCTTTAATGACTTCAAGCTCAGTCCCTAAAAGGCCATTTACTGCTGCTTAGCAACCGGAATCAACCTCCTTTAGGTGGAGGGTTATTAATGGAGGAGTCCATGCCTGGGAGACCTGTCCTTTTCCGGGCTGCAGTCTCTATTTTCCGCACCAAGTCCACATCCCACCGATGGGTGACAAAGCTAACCACGGCTCCAGGTGCCTTGCTTCCGACCCGTCCGACCCGCCCCGCGCGGTGCAGGTAGTCCTGCAGGGTGTCTGGGAAGTCATAGTTGACCACCAGCTGCACGCTGCTGGTGTCCAGCCCCCGCGAGGCAAGGTCCGTGCAGACGAGGACAGGCACATCACCCTTCTGGAAGGAGGCAAAGATGCCAGCTCTAGCAGCTGCTGACATCTGTCCCTGCAACCTCAGGTGCTTGATCTTGTGGTCATCCAGGATATAGCCCAGCCAGTTGACAGTGCTGGCACTGTTGCAGAAGATGAGAACGGCCCCCCCAGACGCTGGGCACTCCTTGAGTAGCTGCAGCAGTTCGGGCGGCTTGTCCCGGCCTTTTAGGCGGACAAATTTCTGCTGGACGTGGGGCGGCAGGCGGTGCAGGCTCTGGGTGGAGAGGGTGATGAACCGGCCCACGTCGGTGAACTTCCCCAGCGTCTGGCTCAACCCCGTGGGGAAGGTGGCTCCCACCACCACCACCTGCGTCCTCGCCTCCCCGGGGCCGGCCGGCCCGGGGGCACCGGCGGCCAGGGGCGCGTGTGCCAGGATCTCCTCCAGCGGCTCCACGAAGGACTCGTCCATCAGGGCGTCCGCCTCGTCCAGCACCATCCACCGCAGCCGCCCCAGGGCCAGGAAGCGCCGCCGCAGCGCCTCCCGCAGCGCCCCGGGGGTGCCCACCAGCACGGCGGCCCCCGGCGGCGCCGCCCGCAGCTGCCTCCG